TTACCGTAAATTACACAGCTGATATCGCGTGCTAGTCAAGCGCATTTTAATATGTCCATCGCACATAATAATAGTATGATAATAAATAATATAATATTCGAATAAAATACGATTATACGTACCGGATTGACGAGATTCCGTCAAAGTACGATTGAAATTTCGTTCGTATTATATTAATAATACCTACTGCGAAGAACACTTTATAATAATAATTCTTCCCGATTTCCGAACGTGGAGATAGATACCAACCAACCAATATAATGATACTTACGTGTATAATATTACATTATATTATAGGTATATTATGTATATATTTTGTGTTCACACGAACGCATAGGTTTATACGGCTTGTGTGTGTGTGTGTGTGTGTATAACACACAATATATTATATTATATACGTCAAAATAATATTTTAATAATCGAACGCTGCACGATAGGGCCGACGATACACGAATTTATTATAATTTATACGAGACGTATCGTGTATAGCGATTATACGAACAAACGCGATATTCGGAGTACCTACCGAATATAACAAATAACGCGTCTACATATCGATGTATTATACGCGCGGGTATGTGCCGATCGGAAAATCTCGAATTGCGGACTCGGACGATAAAACCAAACCGAAAACCGCGTACCTGGAGGTGTCTGCCGATCGGCGCCACAATCGTAACACGATAATAATAATAATGATAATAATACGATCATAAAAATGTTACAATGATATATTCCGAGACGTCCGTCCGCAGACCTCAGAGCCTCCTCAGACGAGAAATCCGCACTGCGCTCAGCACGCGGTCCAGGTCGGTCGCTGCGCTGTATAATAATAGCAACGCAAAGATTCGTCAGCGATCGGGAGGAGTATATATTATATTATATTGTGCCCTTGTATCGTGTGTGTGTTTAATATAAGTATCATCGCAGTTAATTCATATCGCGTGTCAACACGCTACACACGTGTGGTTTGTGTATGTGTAATACAAGTGCTGTACGTGTTATTATGTTATAGCGTATTTACGCGAGTTTCGTCGTCGGCACCCCGGGGATCGAGCGCTCGGCGACCTCTTTCCGGCGCGTCCGCGTTTCTCGCCCTTCACTACCCACACCCCCTTTTCGCCGCCGACCCACCCGAATCGTTGGTTTCGCGTTTACGCGTCCGAAATGATGACGATAAAAAACGGTGTAAATCCACCGTGACCCCACGACGGCGTACAGGTACCTATATATATATACGCCGTGTAGTACGATGATGACGTCATGTCGCGGCGATACCTGCTACCTGAGCGGCGGGTGCGAGTTTCGATGATAATATTGTCCACCGCTGTCGCCGCCGCCACCGATACACTTACGTATATCACGCGTGAAGAACAGTATTATTATAGGTGTATAGTATTTATCCAACAATCGAGTCGTGCGGGGTGCAAACCGAACGCGGAGATATAATTATTACGTTTTACAAGCGGCGGAGGGGACACCGGTGGCGGTGCAGTCGGTTCCGCGTAAAGTCGTAAAAACCGGAAACGAAAAGGGCTCAGCGCGCGCAACGCTACAGCAGATATACGCAATAGAGAGAGAGAGAGAGAGTAAGAGAGAGATGGAAATCGGTGAGAGTCGCATACAGCTGCAGACGGTATTGCACAGCGCCCACCAGTTCACCTATATAATCGCCCTCTCCCCGAAGACCGTACACGTTAAATATTTAGCCCCTATATTCGTTCTTTTATTTGTAGGTCTTATATCATAAGCACACGCTCATTCCTTCTATAAACAATACCAAGCTTAATAAACATTTCCGTCTAAAGTCAATAAACCTAGACGAAAAACAGATAATATAATAAATATGTTCGCATTCGGCACTTAATTGTGCACTATTATTGCAATAGTATAAGCATATTAAATTTTGAATATTATGTAGTAAGAATTAAGTCTAAATAATTGAGGAATTTAAACGCGTGTCGAATGATGTTAAGTATAGTTCAAAGGATATACACATTATATCATAGTATACATATTATTATGTGCAGTGTAAATATTAAAGCAAATATTACAGTATTATACGACACTACTGAAGAACACCAATAGCACTGAATTGCACTCTGCAATTGATGACACAGATGTGGTCGTTATACTATAATAATATAATGTTGTGACGTGATCAGTGTGTACGGGATGAACCACATCCGGCATCGATAATGTGAATATAAATCATGAATATATACACAAAATATATATCCATCTTGGAGACGTCATTTGCTCGCGCCTTGTAAACCACATTGTATACCGCAGTAGGCTGAAAATACTAACTTTCTTTCGTCTCGTATTGATGAAACTCTTCGTTTTATTTGTCATTTATATAGGTACACATTTATAATATTTAAAAAATACGTCACCGCGGTATGCGTATTATTGTTATGTTACATGTATGTATGAGCAAAAAATGTATTCACAATCGATAAAAAAATATAAATAAAAATAATATCTATCCTTAACCTTGTACGCTGTAGTAAGACGCAAGGATTAAATCGTATCCTTCTGAGTCCGTTCTGTGATCTACCTATTTAAAATAATATTGTACAACGGATAACTTAACTTAACCTAACCGAAAAATAATTTTTTTACTTATAAAATGTTGACTTTAAAAGATATCTATTTATTTGATAAATATATCTAACAATGCACTGCATATACTTTATATTCAAAAACTGATTATTGATTGTTTATGTGTCTTGACTCGTGGCTTGTATGTATTATCGTTATTTCACGTTAATTGGAAAAGACGTCGTTAGTTCGTTAATGCCTATATTATATTATTGTTTAATAAATTAAAAATATATACTTAAGCACGAAACACATTTCGTCATACATCGGTGAAATCAACGAGTGTGTTTTATTCAAATTATCATCGTAACTCGTAAACATGTTTAAATTAAAAGCTTTTAAAATATTCCATGATTTGGTTACCTCCGATGTTAATAACCTTAAAAACACGTCACAGTCAATTTGTTCCCGAAAACACACCTTATAGTAATTACTAGTTATATCTATACGACGCATTATTTTATTCATTTAATCCCATTATCATTATATATTATTGTACGTATCTACATATTTAGTATTTGAAATATATTTACATATATAACGCACAATATACAAAACGCATAATTTCATATGCACGACAATAACAATTAAAATGTATTACTATGTTCGTTTTTTAACGAGTAGGTAAGGTACCTATACACAAAAACAGTAAAAGCTTGTTGGTTTTTTTTTTTTTTTTTGTGGAAAATGTCTATTTCATAACAGTATTAAATAATAATGATCTTCATCGAGTGACAATTAGCGTGCTTACACTACTCGTTAAAAATATCTGTTAAGTTCTCTAGCTAACGCGTATTCAGTCGACGTTCCTCAGATTATGTTTATGTATAGACTTTAAACGATCTTCAAACGTGTATAAAAATATACGCTTGCACACACGCATTCGTATTAATCCCGTAGATTGAAGAGCTACCGTGTTACAAGACGTATTCTATTATTCATACATACAGGGCCGTGTCCTGACCGGTTCTCTAACACACTACTATACACCACGTTGCCTGTTAATGAGAAACACTATATTATATTAAATGATATACGCTCATCACAATAATATGTTTTCACCCTCCACGTCATTGTCATTCGTCTCGGCATAGTGTATTTTTATGTTCATTTTTTTTTTTTTTTTTTTTTTTTTATTGTAATAGGTTGTGTTGACGTTTTTTTTCCTAGTTGCGTATATTTTATCATTTTTAAATGTATTTTGATGTATTATAATAGTACCTGCCACGGTATACGACACGCGGATTAAAATAATCATACCTATACGTATTAACAACAAGGAAGAATTACCGAGAAAACAATAAGGTGTTAAATGAACGATTTGTTGAAGTTGAATGGTAATTATTTTTCGCAAAAAACGATCTCACGTTGAATTGAATACAAGTACTTAATATGGTATATGTACTTATGTCCTATAGGTACCATAATATAAGTGCATATACCAATTTATTATTATTATTATTATTTTTGTTGTTGAGTTAACAAGATAGATGTCGAACAGGTATGCACTATGCACGAGAAAAGTGTATTGCGCAATGGAACAAATATATTTTGTAATAACCGCAGTCGGGGACGGGAGAGCAATGATTTATACAACGGTGTGAACGAAAATATATTATAGGCATCAAATTAATTAGACATCCAGCGAAACGCTGAACTGTTCGCGTAGACTTATACCGGTCAAACTTTTGAACTCGAGTGTCTAATTTGTTTACAATAATGACTTGCAACCGATGGAAAAACAAATAGTATTAATATTACTGTATTAGCACCGACCGACCGACCGACTATTTGAAATACTCCGAGGTTAGGAAAAAGCAATACATTTTATCATCCGAAACGTCTCTAAATTAAACATAACCGGTAGACAGAAAAGTGTTGATGTATTAGAGTATTACCATTATTATTATTACTATACCGCAGTACATGGGAATAATATTATGTATGAGAACAATAATAATTATTATCATTATTATTATTATCGATCATTATATTTTATAGTCTATGTTAATTTACGAATTATAATATAAATTAAAAATATTCTAATAGTTGGTACCTATATATTTAACTAAATACATTAAACTATATACTTACTTAACGGCTGACTAGAATAAATACATTTTCAAAATTATAATACTTACATAGTACATCATACATAGTAAATTATTACATAGCAAATATAGAACTCAATGTTTATCATCCATTAAAATCGAATAGCACTCGACTTTATTCATCTTATTATATAATCGAATAATGAAAAAAAAAAACCATTAAAAAATTATAAAATATTTGTCCACATGAATGTTTACAATTAAGCGGTGTAAGTTGCATGTACAACTAAAACTGATTATACGTCTTAAAATTACAGTGGAGATAATATAATATTATTTGTTTTACAGTTATACTCGGCGGGCAGTGAATCAGACAGACGGACCTTTCTAGACTCGCTATTCAGTTTCATGCAAGAACAAGGTGAGTACCTGAGAAAATAAAGCTTGTGCTTATATTTTATTAATCATATTTCTTACTTTATTGACTGATAATTTTTCCTTGATTCTCCGCAGTCGGTATACATATTATAGCTATCTATCATGTTTAAAGCTGAGTATTCGTAAAATATAAAAATAATTATATCTATAAGAGCAAAAAAAAAAAAATATTTATTATTTTTTTAATAGCATTACAATTTGCGGAAAATAATAAATTATATTGTATATATTATTGCAAATATCAACTACCATATAATATCATATATATGCACTTCAACAACTATCGCGTATTCCGTCATGTCTCTGGTGGTGGGGTAGGCGAGTTGCATATAGCTGATATACTCAAGCTATACTTAGATACTCTATAATAATGTCCAGGTTATCGACCGTCGAAATCATGTACGTCTTAAAAATTTAATTTCAGGCGATTTTTTATCTTAGTTAATATGATTTGTATCTACCTCTACCTATAATCAGATGAACTGCAAAATCTAAAATATAAATTTTCTTTCTAGAAAGTAAAAAAAAGGTTCTTTCTGCAAAATATTTCTTTTTAGCGGTGTTTTCGCAAAATAATGAGAACCAAGTAACTTGGTAACTGCAAAAAAAAAAAGGACATTTAATTATATACATTATATGCATTTCATAACTCCACTAATACAGTAGAACGTTGATAGCCAAATTTAATCGATACACAGTTATCATTCGTTTAACGATTGCGCGTTTGTCAGCAAATACACGATTTCTACATTGTCCGTTATTAAAATAAATTTTATTTTTAAGTCACAACGTAGTAAATTTGTGTAAGCATACGATATAATGATCAATATAATTTTTAATATTTTTATTGATAAAACTCAGCAGGCGTAGATTATAATGCACGCAATTAGGCAAAAACGATAATATTACAAAAGACGCAATACTACTGATCGTGATTCGTAGGTCTTGCAAATGAGGGGTACATAATATTATTCATAACTATGAATTATATATATAATACACACCTATATTGTAATAAATTATAATAATGAACGTTGTTATTGGAAAACCGTTTAAAATTTACTATTATATGTAGAATCGATAACAAATTATGTATATCAATAAAATTACGACAAACATTTGAAAGCAATTAAAGCCGTTTAAGTTTAAAAATTTAATTGGATAATCATTTTACTTAACGTCTTCTTTAAATACAAACATATTTAATAAATAATTAAATTTCGTATAATATTATGTATATTATTAAAAATTATCATCGATTATCAGGAAATGTTGTATTGTAATTGAAAAAGTAGATTCATACTACAATTTTGTTTATAGTTATGAGAAAAAAAAAACCATAATATTTTATAAAACATGTGGATATTGGCAATGTCAAGATATAAGATCGTTTAAACACAACTACTTATAATGCAATTCGATAAAATTAGCATATCTATTTATAGTTTGTACTGCTCAAATACTTAGTATATTAATCGTTGAAGACTTTCATAAAAAGTTCATATCATATTGCCATAATATTATACCTACGTTAATTTGGACGTTACCATACCATAGATGTTACATCTGAAATAACATTTTATGCGTTTATCATACTCTTTTCGGAAAATCGACTTTTTGATATCAATTATTTTGTAATTTTGTTGGACGGAACGGATGTTTTGTACAGTATACATGTAAATCTCATACGATATTCTACTTCAAATTTTTAACGTTAGTATGACTTTTTTATACGGTCTGAATAATTATCATGTTTACCATAAACTCGAACATAATGTAGGGAGAAAAGTAACAAAAATACGGGCTATTCAAAGACACAGCGACGGTGTCGTTATAAACACGTCGGCCGCGGTGGAGGCGCTAAATAATAGTGTATTATATCATATTATATATTATACTATACAAAATAAAAACGATTACATTTTTATAGCCAAATAAAAAAGCAACGCGCAATGAAATATCGATTTCTCGAAACGTGTTTCATTGTGAATAGATGTTTTAATATGCAATACGAAAATTTACTAACTATAAACGACGAGTCTATAAAATAGTTTTGAATAATTCGGAATTCGGCTTTGAAAATCAAACAAAATCGTACGCCATAGTAAATTATGTCATTAAAAATGTATATACATATTATATATATTATTATAACGTTGAATGAGCAATAAAAATAATAATATTAGATTTTTAAAAATTAAATAAAAACTACTATTGTAATACTTTTGGAACCCACCGATTTTTTATGCTACGACAATGACTCGTTTTTGGATATAAAATCTGTTTTGAAACGTTAATATTTCTTTATATTACCTACTTAAAATTTAGGTTCCATATTATTATAGACTTCAAGTAGACATTTTTTTTACAATATTAATTTTTTTTGATTATGTTTACGAATATAATGGTATAACTGATGTATGTATGCAACTAAAAAACGCTTCAAATATAGTATTGTCTTAAATAAAATAAAATATACAAATTTTAGCTATAAACGTTCATTTGAGACCTAACTGAGTCATGCATTGCATCTATATTCTATACTAATACACTCGGCGGGATTTTAGTGGATGAAACTATAACTGAATATTATGTCATTGGGTTTAGACATTTAATATTTTAATATGACTTTAGATAAACTTATTTTTCATTGTATCTATATTGTGGTGTGCAATTGATTTGACTATAATTTCGTTTTTTATGCTATTATTGAGTATTAAAAATTTGTTAACTAATAATTTTGGATCTATGTCTAAGAAAAATAAAGTAAGACGAACGCGTTCAGAAATGTAAAAAAAAAATATTTGTATTTGTATGTTAATTATTCAAAACAAATGGTGTATATATTTAGGTGTGTGTGTGTGTGTGTGTGTATGTAATATATGTCTATATATTTTTCTGTAAACTTCGGATCGTAGCTGTCATTGTGTGACGCATATTTGTAATGAAAACCATCAGCGTCGTATATCATTATATTTATTATAAAAACGTTTATTAGGTATTTATGTTTTATATTATAATGACGCTAATGAACTAAAAAATACATTTACATACTGTATGTGTAGCAATTGCGAAACATCATTAGAGAACATTTGTCGTTATTATAGGATTTCCGCTGCTTAAATTATTATAATATCATAGTTGAAAGAAATAATAAATTCGAGAGTTCCTACAATATACGTTGTATATTGTGTATTTGATATTTTCCTGTTATAATGCCTATATGTTAATATGTAAACATAATTTTGTTCTTCTATTCTCAAAAACGATGAAAAGTTCAAAAATGAACTATTTTTTTTCTTCTTTCTGCAAAGACGACGATAATGATGGTGACAGCGTGGCGCATTTCAAATTCCAGTTTTTTCGTAGGAGGAGACGCGTGGAGAAATAATCATTTTGTTTCTCATACCAATCCTGTGTTTGACGAATAACGATGCGAGTGTTCGCGCCCTATACACCATTATTATACACGGTACACACTATTACTACATTATAATATATAATATTATAAACGTACTTAAAAAAATAATAATAACTCCATTGTAAACGGATCGGCTCGAAGGCGTTTTAACAGAAATAGCCGATTTGTCAAAATCTCTCTTACGTGTAGAATACGGTTTATAGTGTAGAAATCTGTATGAAAATCATTTAATAACAACTAGCTCATCTACGTTGTTAACCTTCGACTGTATCAGGGGCTTTTACTAAAATTATATTTTCCCCGTTAATTTCGGCTTCTATTTGATCTATCCCGTACAACGCATATTGTTGTATACCTGCAGCACAACGCATTCGACTATCTGTGATCATAACCGGAATAATATTTTAACTATGTTCCAGGAACATAATATTTGACTGCTCGATCGACATATTCCAAATAGTCTATGTAGACTACACTATCGATAGCAATTTAAGGTACATACCTATCTTGTATTCTTGTATGACCATTATGATACATAATTTATACATATACCTATAGTGCCTACCTACATGTTGTTACCTCCTAACTATCCAACTATAACTACTGTGTACAAAAATTTACGTTTATGTTATATTGTTATAACTTTTAATATTATCATTTAAATATTGAATTATACGGAACATCATATAAAAAAAAAATCAAAATATTTGATAAAATGTTATTAATATTATTGTTAAATTTTATGATGATTAAAAACAAATATTATGCATCTAAATATTATGGTGAGTGTGAACAATTAAACATTTAAAATTACTTAAGCTCATTCCATATCCTACATATTTTGATCTGAATTAATTGTATAGTTAAGTATAATGAATATACAGATATTTAAGTGCCGTAAATACAAGAGTATAAAATAAGGTAAAAATGTTTAATATGTATGTCGTATCTCATCCATATCGCGTAATTGTACGTTTCGCGAAATGGAAACGTGACTTATATGTGATCATTCTCGTTCCTAAGATAGATAAAGACCGTTGGATCTAGCGAACATCACTGGAATAGTGGTTGATTAAAAAAATGATATGAACCAATTGGGAACTGAACATGGAATTATTAATGGTTGGTATGATGTAAGAAGCTTATATAACTGGCTTCTTCGAATTTTATAAAATTAAAGCAAGTAAAATATGAAGTCGAGAAAAAATTTAAAACAAATTGTTTCTTCATTAAAGGGAAGACAAGGTTATTTTAGTTGCTATTATAAAAGCAAATTTCAAACAAAAAAAGTGTGCTTATTTTAAGATAAAAATTTCAATTCTTGATATTATAAAAATTCTATTCTACGTTTAAACAAATAATAAATATAAATGATTTCAAATTCATAGTTTTCATGTTTCATTATATTTATAGTCAATAATTTTCATAATTTATTATATTCACGAGTAATCATTTTCTTAATAATTCATAATTTTCATAATTATTAATTCATTATAATAATATTCACAATCAGTATTTATAATTCTGTACTATGTTAAAAATAATAAAAAATATTATTATAA